AATTGATCCGCACTTTATATATATTTTCAATCCAAAAATCACAAACATAACTTAACATTTTTTGCCTTTAAAGTCCCTTTTCTCGTGGAGCGTACGAAGCTGAAGTACGCAACGTTTATGATAAACGATTTTTAAAGAAATAATTTTTTAAAATCAAAAATTCTATAATTTTTGCCTAAAAACTATTTCTTGTAGTTTTCATTAATTAACAAATTATAAAAAAATATTTTTTAGGCAAAAAATTATAGAATTTTTTATTTTAAAAAATTATATCTTTAAAAATCGTTTATCATAATCGTTGCGTACTTCAGCTTCGTTGGAGCGTTACATTATTCAATTTGATTACCGAAGAAAAAACATTCTAAAATTTTGAATTTACGTACATGGTATTTTTATTTTAGAATATTTTATACTTAAATTTAGTATGTAATATTCTTAAAATTAGAATATATACTAAGTAATAAGAATATATTCTAATTTTAAGAATATTACATACTGAATTTAAGTATATAACATTCTAAAATAGGTCTCAAAAGTATATAATGTGACGCACTCTGAAGAAAGGGATGACCTTAGAAGCAAACGAATTATAGGTTATGTTTACTGTAGTTTTTACCATAATTAAAATTTTTTTTTACATTTATAATCTTAAAATCTTTTGTTAAATATTTTGTATGTAATGAAGACTTAAATATCAATAATTTATATTGAGAGTTGATTCTCTTTGTGTATTTTCACTTCAAAATTTTTATAACATAACCTATAATTTTTTGCTTCTAAGGTCCCTTTCTTCAGAGCGTGTCTGTATTCTAAATTTTAGAAATATAGTACTGTTAGCGAAAAAGACAAGGAGTATATTATTATTATTATTATTAATAGATTTGAAAGGTGTCGATATATGGCAATCTATTATCATGATGATAAAAATTGGTCGATAGTGACTATAAAAATTGTTTTTATTGACCCGTGAGGTTTTACGTATCCCACGTGCTGCTATAAACCAACGTAGTACTTACTCGCGTCGGTCATTTATCCTTGGACACGGAATCCATTCACCTGCTGCAAGATGGGTGATTGCACGCGACGCCTCCATATTGAACTTTATATTTATTTCATGTTTGAGAACCACTGAACAACAGAGTTTCTCAAGTTGAAACAAACAATATATATATATATATATATACACTTAGATATGTATTTTAATTAAATTTTCATTTTATTTGCTTATCTTCATTCATAACTTGTCATTTGCATGCAAATGAAATACGATTTCATTATAAAGAAACGAATTTAAAATTGAAATGCAGTTAAGAAACAGGCTTTTATAATACAATATTAAATTTCCAAGATTTTCATTGAAAAATAAAAATTTTTCTTCTCTTATTACATTATTTAATGTACTACAGAGGAGGGAGGATTTTTTTTTTCTCTCTCTCTCTCTCTCTCTCTCTCTCTCTCTCTTTCTTAGATAAAATCTTGTGCAGTTTGAGTTTTTCATGGAACGATGAAAAGAATAAAAATCTCTTTTTATCGAGAATTGAATCTTCTGCGACTGGTCCCAACTTCCTGTAAACTTTCCGTGGAATATATTTACATTTATTTCTTATATATATATATATATATATATATATATATAGCGATAGATCGATCAACACACACGACCTGTTTTTTCCTTTTCTTTTTTTTTTGAGTTGTAAAGATGACTTTTGAAAAGCATTTCAATTGCTGTGAGTTGCTTTCCATTGAGAAGACGTTAAAGGTCAATAGACACAGAATGTTATGTACCTACAATCTTAGTGTCCAAAGGCACTCAAGGACAAAGATTTATGCGCACATGTTCATCCCAAGTTCAAGTTATATATATATGTATATGTGTGTGTGTATATGCATTCAGCGCTGAATATATTTTATAGAGGGGGAGACAATAATATGAAAAATCTTTTCATGTTTAAAATTTACCATATCATTCCTTATAGCATACTTGAGAATTTCAATTGAAAACTGTATTTTCTAAAATAATTTATAGAAATATCTACTATTTAATGATTTAAATTCACATGAGTTAATAAATGTGTCTAGTAAATTTAAAATTGACTTAATAAACTTTTTTTTGGATGAGTAGCAATTGATTATTTGAAGTGAAAAAAACAGGGGGGGGGGAGAAGGGCTTTTGGAAAAATGTGTGAAAAGCAGGCACCTGGTGCTAATGGAAATGATTAAGGAAGTGTATACATATATATATAAGAACGTAGGCGTAACATGATTTTTGAAAAAAAAGAAGAAGAAAAAGTTCATGTCTACCTGAGATTGGGAGTACACAATACCTGGGACGTCACTTTTCGTAAGCCCAGTAGCCGAATAGAATTTCGTTTGTTTGTACACGTGTGTTGTATTTAAAATGATGCTATACAACTCTGTGGCACAGTTATGCATACGTAACACACTCTTAAAAACATGGTATACGTATCTATATATATCAGGTTATGAAAGAACTCTTCAGATTTTTTTTGTCTTGGAACAAAATTTTTAATTAATACCGCAAGTAGGTTCAGATTTTCATTACTGTTAAATTTTTACTAATGCAGTAATTAGTAATAGTAATTTTTAATGACCTTTAGTATTTGCATAGAAAATTAAAATCGTTTTAGTATTTACAGAGAATTAGTAAAGATTAATAAGGCTTAGCCAGTACTGAACCAATATTAAACCAATACTCAGTTTGTATGAACCTATTAACCCAGCACTATAAAACCAATCAGTACAAAGCCAATACTAAGCCAATATACTCACAAACAGTCAATACTGTGCCAGTACTATGCCATTATTAAGCCAGTACTAAGCCAAGACTAAACTAATATGCTAAGCCATTGATATGACAGTATTAAGACAGTATTATGTTAATGCTAAGGCAATATTATGGTTTAAATTACTAAACTAGTACAAAGCCAGTAATAAACCAATACTAAGCCAATATACTAAATCGATACTATGCCAATACTAACCCAATATACAAAGCCAATATTATTAGAATATTAAGCCAATACTAAGTCTCTGTACTATTAAGCCAGCACTAAAGTAGTACAACGCCATTACTAAGCCAATATTAAGCCCATAGGAAACCAATACTATTGTAATAATTAGCCTATATTATGCCAGTATTAAACCAGTACAATGCCAGTACTAAACCAAACTAGTACTAAGCCAATATATTAAGCCTATATTAAGCCAGTATTAAGGTAGAACTAAATTAATACAAAGCTAATATTAAGCCAAGATAAACAAATACTATTCTAATATTAAGCCAATACTATATCGATATTAAGCCAATACTAAACCAATATTAAGCCAATACTAAACCAATATTAAGCCAGAGATAAGCCTGTATTTATCCTGTACCGAGCTGATAATAAGCCAATATTACGCCCGCATTGAGCTAGTACTAAGCCAAATTACTGGCTGAAACTTCAAGTTAAAGTTGCCAGGATTGTCCCAATATTATTTTTTGGTACTTAATCAGTACGTGATAATTTTTCTTTGAACAAAAATAAATCGAAAAATTAATAATTTTTAAAAAAATTTTAATAAAAAGTAATTAAATTAAAATACATATTTTGACACTCTTAAAAATGAAGTAAGGCTTATATTATGTTTGTAATGTAGTACGAAGCAAAATACGACATTCACTCTAACATTTGAGTATGAATAAAGCCGGTTTTAAGGCGCAATGAAAAAGAGATTGCATAATCGAATCTGATTTAAAATCATCGTGAAATGTAATTATATATATAATAAACATACATATATGTATACTGTAAGAAAAATGTAAGAAATTTTCTTCTGATTATTGTTTTGAGGAGAAAAAAAATAATAAATAATTTTAAATATATAAATAAATTTTACATTCAGTTTTTGACTTAAATTACAACTTAATATGTCATTTTGTAAAACGAATTTAATTTTAAATAATAATTATGTTCTATACTTGAACACCTGCGTTGTATTTTCACTTCAATGTACTAGGGGCCCTTCTTTGCAAAGTCATAAACGTCCCGCCAATGTTGGCATTAAAATGTCCTTACAGCATATAACTTTTCAAATATAATTTATATCCTCGATTTACATTCGCATAATATATATATATATATATATATTGCATGGTTACGTTTACACCGTAACGATAAATATAATATAATTTTTCAGGAACTATTTAACTGTTTTATTATATATTACATACAGAAAACTACATGAGAATTTTAAAATTTCATCAGATTTATATTTAAAAGTTGTCTTTTGAAATATTAGTTTTTTTTCATCATTTAGTATACTTTTCTTCGAAACTACCAAACTGATTTAAATATTTTTTTTAAAGTTTAAGTAAAGTTGGGGTAATGTAAAGAGAGGTTAGGAATGATTAGGTTTCGATAGCAGTATCGACAAATAAGATTAGGTTAGGTATAATCAGATTTAGTTAAGTTGGTTGCCATTGTCCCCCCACTTGCTAGTTGTCATAATTCTCGTCAACTACCGCACCCTGCTCTAGTGAAAATTTAGTGAATTTATTGGAACTTTTAATTTTTTACTATAAAGTCACTAAATTTTCACTAGAGCAGGGTGCGGTAGTTGACGAGAATTATGACAAATGACGACAATAGCAACCAACCAGTTAGTGTCAAAAGATTACGAAAAGTAAGAAAAATTATAGGTTAGGGTAAGTTTTAGGTTAGATTTAGGTAAAATCAGATTTAGTTAGTGTTTAAAAGTTAGGTAAAGTAGGGAAAATTAGGTTAGGTTGATCGATTAGGGTAAGTTTTAGGTTAGATAATTGATAAATAAGTGAGGTTAAGTCTAGGATAAGTTAATATACAAGGGAATAATTATATTTCTTACACAAGGTTAGGTTCCAAGTTTAAAGTTAAGCCTATTTTACAAACACAGTACTAAATAAGTAATAATCAAAAATATATAATCAAAAATGTCTAATCTAATAATTTTTTTTTTAGGTTGGCGAAGACGATCTTCCAGAGTGCTCGTCGAAAAACGAGATTTGCAGTAAAGTGGATTTGTACGGTGCCCCTTGGGTAGAGAGACAGTGTCGTTGTCCAGGTGGACGATCATGCCCCAGTACTGCAAATGCCAATGATGGCCACACACTTGCTGACAGAACGAGACAGTACAAACTTTGTGAAGCAGTCAAAAGAATTCCATTTTGCCGCTATTTCAAGTAATTATATTATTATTATTATTATTCGCCGTTTAATATTACTCTATTTAAATTTTGCCTAATTAATTAATTTTTATAAAGAGAATATGTAAAAAATGAATTTTTTTCTACAGGGATGTCACGTGGTCGTTACAACCATTTGGAGGTCCAATGAATTCGACAGTACAACGAGTTCACTGTAGATGTCGTCCAGGTGGAGTTCCTTATTTACTAAAACGAGAAGCACACTTGACACCCAAAGGAGTATACGTTCCTGTCTATTACTTTGGGTGTTCGCCGCAAAGTGTAAGCATCGCTAGTGTAAGATCACTATTTTTACAATATTAACAAAAAAAAAATTCGTTTATCAAGGGCATTCAACTAATGATACTAAAAAAAAACCATCAATTAACTAGTACAAGAAAAATTTTCATTTTAAATATTTCCGCGCAAAATTCACTCTGTTTTATCGACACAACATAGATAGGAAATTCAACAGTATAAATTTTCCATCAAATAAACAATCGGATTAACATTTTTTTTTGTATAATATCATCTAATCATTAATTGAAGCTTTTGAGAAACTAAACAATCATCTATATATTGACAAAAGTAATATATATATATATATTTTTTTTTCTATTTTACAGAAAATGAAGTGCGCAAAAAAGGAGCCATGCAAACTTTTTACTGTTCGCAAAAGAAATAAAAATGAAGTTGCAGTTGAAGATGTTTCTGTATCGCCATTGTGCCAATGTCACAAAGGTTTTAGGTGTCCGAAAAAACACACGGATCCAGGATCGATATCAGCGAGATCATACGCTGGAATGGATATTAAAACCTATAGTGCGTACTGTGTACCAACGCATCACTAAAAAAAAAAAAAAAAAAAGAAAAGAGAAAAATTGAAAACACTCTTTTGAAGACATTTAAAAATCGTGACAAACAAAAGATAAAAGAAAATTTCTTTTATGAGAATAAAATTCTCAAAAAAAAAAAGTTTTATCCTATTTCCTCGAGATATCAAAAAAGGGAAATGAGAAATTTTTTTTTAAGTACAACACCGATTCACGTCTTCTGGGACTTTGCTCAAAGCAAGTGAGATTTCAAAGTGATTGGTAATTTTTTTTTTTGTATTGTTGATGAGTGAACGTTTGTGTGTGAAATGAGTAAATGTAACGCAAGGATGAGGTTGAAAAAACCGTTATTTTTGCTTTTTCGATTATTGACTTTTCAAAAATAAAAAAAAAATATTTATGTATTTCAAACCCCCTGTAAAAGTTGTAAAAAAAGAAAAGAAAAAAGGGACAAAAATCGACAATTAAGTGTAGTTACCAAGTCAGGGCATTGTTCGTCTGTATCGACAGTCGGTAAGAAAGAGAAAACCGATTTAAACATTTCAAACAAAAAATTCAATGTTGAAATGTTGTCTATGTGAAAATTAATTGTCGATTAAAATAGACTTTCAGAAAGGTTGTTTTATAATCGAAAATGCAAAGGAACAATTTTTTTTTATCTAATAAATTAGTTAAAATATATATTTAATGAAAAAAAAAGAAGAAAAAACAAAACATAATACAAATTTGTTAGAGATTTTAATTTTTGATATCTCCTCCTTGTTAATAGTATTTTAAGCATTATATTTGCTGTGTTACTTGTAAATTGTAGCAGTGTGACACAAAAGCTTTAAATTTGACAGGGAAGGGGGATGAAGAGAAAAAAAAAGAGAGAGAAATAAGGAATTAATGTTGAATGATTCGTCGCATTGTTATTATGTTTTCACTGTATTTAAAATATATTGTAAAATTAGTATACATTTTGAATCTCATAGATTTGTATTTTAATGAGTTTGTTATTACATTACTTTACAAATTTTTAATTTAATTTTTAAACTTGATTAGAAAAATTCATTTTTTTATTATTTTTTTTTACTTGATTAAAATATTGTCTTTAACAAGACAAAAAGGATATATTGAATTTTAAATATTTGTATATTAGACTTAAAATTAATTTCCTTTCGATTGTATACTAAATTTACAATATTATTATTTTTCAATAATGTAGATACAAAATTGTCGTTATAAATTGTATATGCAGTGTATAGATGATTTCTTTTAGCGACTATTGTTTATCAAGCAGTTACAATAAATAATATTATTTTATTTTATTAATTAATTTTAATGATTAGAAATGAAGTGTTACAACAGCATCGTAAATATAACTTGTTATCAGTTACTTGTATTACTATTTCGGTTATTTGAATATATCCAAATATAGTCTTCAAATATATATTTATATATGATCCTAAAGTTCTTAACGTCCAAGTAAACGAAACATTTCTATCGATTTGAATATTTTTAAACAAATTTTTTTTTATTTTATTTATTACATGGCTAAACATTTAAAAATAGCATATTTTAATATTATAAATAATAATTACTTTACTGACAATTATTTTAATTACTTTCTTTAAAGGATTTAATAAAGGAAATTAAATCAATGGAATAAATTAAATGAATTTTAAATGAATAAAAATGATTATTTATAATAAAATTATTTTTTAATTTTCATTTAATTTTTTTTTTTATTAAATTTAAATAAATGTAAATATTAAGTTTGATATATGAATTATGTTATTGTATTTGTAAAATTTTTTGAATTTAAATGAATAGATTTCGTTGATTCGAACATTTAGAACTTAAGGAATATTAATTTTTTTTATATATATTATGCTACTTTTATTGTTAGATGCAAGAATTTTTTTTTATTAATTAATGGATCAAATTATTATTAGAAACTGTAACTCTTCATGCCATTATAATTGACTGTACATACTAAAAATGCATTTTAGATTAGGTAATATTTTTTTTTATTATTTTTATTAATAACAAACAGCATTAAAAAAAAGTATTTGATTTTAAATCGACTTCTCTCTGTATTTTGTATAATTTTCACATATTTTTTTCGCATTTTATAATAAAGTGTATATGTCGATGCTGTCTAAATGATTGTTTTTTTTCTGTCTACTTTCAAAATTAAAAAAAAATAAGGAAAATTAAAATGAACTAAAAAATAAGATTAAAATAAACTAAATTTATGATTTTCCGAGTAATTCAATTTTACTTTGTCGGTAACAAACGAAGAGGTTTCATCGTTGAATCAACAGAGGGCACAATGATGGTCTTGCTGGTAGTTTAAAAATACAGATACCAATCTGTCTACTGACAATTCATATTGCATTTTAAAATTTTAAATAATTAAAATTTTTTCAATTAAAACTTAATTTTTATTTTACAATAATTTTCTTTATATGATTTTTTATTTAAAAGAATTTTAATTTTAAGCGAATTTTAATTAAAAAGAATTCTCATTCAATCGAATCTAATCTGATTCGAATTTTTTAAATGATAGAGAAATTCCAATTCACCAAAATTTCAAATTTGTCTTAATTATCATTAGTACAAATTTTTAATTTATAAAATCTTTAAGACGTCGAATTATCGTTTTTCCGAAATTACAAATGTCCCAACAAAAATTCGACACAATTTTCTTGACAATTTCTAATTGGTCAATTTTTAAAAATTGTGCCAAAATCATTCTGTCGATTTTTTGTTCGGACATTTTTAATTTCGGACGAATGAAAATTCGGTGTCTTAAAAATTATATTAATTAAAAATTCGGACAAATTAAAATTTGATAAATTGTAATTTTTGTAATTAAAATATTCGAATCAAATAAAATTTGATTGAATGAGAATTAGGTTAAATTCAAATTCTTTTAGATAAAAAGTCATGTAAAGAAAAATGTCTGCAAAATAAAAATTTTGCAAAACAAAAATTCGGTAGGTCAAAATTTTGTTTTGTAAAAATTCATATAAAAAAGAAAATCTGTCAAAGTTTAATTTGAAATTTGAATAATTAGGTATTTCTACTAAAATTCTTTGAAATGAAAATCCTAATTAATGATTTTTTATGGGAAATTCATAAAACTCTATATGTTTAGAAAAAGAAAATTTCTCAAATATATCTAAACACTTTTATGTATTTATGTGATGCTCCATAAGAAAAGGGACCTTAAAGAAAAAGAATTTTAGGTTATGTTTAGTAATAGTTTTAGCTTGATTAAACGTTCATTTTTTATTATATAAAATCAAAATCAGTTTCTATGGAATATTTTCGATCTAAATGAAGAAAAATAAAAATCAGTGGTTGGTATTAAGAGTCGATTTATTTTATATATTTTCAATTTTAAAATCACAAACATAACCTAAAATTTGTTTTGCCTCTAAGGTCCCTTTTTCTCCTGGAGCATATAAGACATATAATATTAAATAAATTTTTTTGGACTGTGTTCATATAATGCATCTTTATCGTCTAAATAAATATACGAAGAGCAATATATATATATATATATTCACGTGAAGGGAAACGATATCGGTATATTATAAATAGAGAACTGCGTGCACACGGGAAAATAAATGTGAGCCTGTCGTCGCTCGCGCTCCAAAGTGCGAGACTTCCTACTTTTCATAAATCACATGGGTGACCGTTACATGTACATACAGATGGATCGATCGATCGACAGATCGTATTCTATGCGTAAGAAATTGAGAATCGATCGATCGATCTCTCGATCGATTGCAAATATTCCAACGCTTTCAGCTACTGTTTATATATATATATATATATATATATATGTGTGTGTTTCGTGCGCACGCTGGTTTGTTATACATGCAGGATGACCCAACTTTCTCCATGAAACAACAATTACTTTCAACTTGTATTTTTTTTTTATACATTCGAATATAATTTGTCATGCAAATTCTGTATACACAGTACCGCTGACAGTGAATGAAGATTATTGTATATACAATCGGGAGCTATTGTAGGCAATTTTTTTTTTCTTAATTCTTTATAGTGAAGTGTTTTTTAATGTAATTTTTAAAATGTAGATGGCGTTGTGTTTGTTTTTTTCAAACTTTTAGACGCCACAATACAATGGTGCCATTGTTTACAAAATTTAGATATATTTACATACATTATAAAATCTAAAATTTTAGAAAAGCTATTTAAAAATATATATATATATATAAAATAAATATAAATAATAATCCATTATATTTCGATCAAAGCCGTTGAGGCTTATTTTTTAATAATATTTTTGTCGACATTAACTTAAATGTTCTAATATACTACAAAGACAATGAAAAATTTAATTAAAAAACCGAATCTAAAGTCAGTTTAACCCCATCGCGTCAGATATTTGACATAACCTTAAAAAATCACAAAATTCGTCCTTAAAATTTTAAAATCAAGAAAAATTCGAATCTATAAGTATTACCATGTCTACTTTATGTATTATTATGATAGGAAATTAGAATAATTAGCATACGACAATATCTGTAAAAAAAGGGTAAAAGAAGAGCAGATAAATTTAATATTGCACATAAATTAACAGAATTCAAGGTCGGTGAAAAAGTTCTTATAAAATTATTAAATTGATCGGATAAAGAAAATAAAATCATAGCAAAATTCCTACAAATATATTATGGTCCTTACGAAATTTAAAAAAGTAGTAAAGCCAGGAACATATATATTTTATGGAACCCCAAAACTAAAATAGAGAAAGGAATGTACTATAGTCAAGACATAAAAAATACATAGAAAGACAAGTGTAAAAAAAAGCAATTAAAATTTTTTTTTTTTAAAGTGTTAAGTGCAGTGAACAATAATATAAAAACATATTTAAATAAATAAACTATAATAATAATAATAAAAATAATAGTTATAAACATATAAAAAATATTAAAAAAAAGAAAAATTAACAATAATTTTATCCTTTCTTAAAAAAGATAGTGCCTTCAAAGCACATAAAAATGTATCGAAATATCCTGATGGTCGAAAAAATCGAATGTAAAGAAAAAATGAATTTTCCTTTCCAAAGCATCTAAATCAATATTCATTTTATTAAAATCACCTTTAAGGAGGAGGGCCCCTAAGGCCTATATTTCGACCCCTTGGGATTTTAATTTAAATGGTTGAAAACTTATTCTTATAGTAGAAAAAGTAATTTTTCATTGATTTAAGGTGAAACGGGGGTGTTTTGGTCAAATTAACCCTTAGATTTTAGGGTTTTTTTTCAAAAAAAGTGTCAAAAAAACATGCAAAAAACATTTTCCAAATGTTGAGCAATTGGCTTGAAAATCGTTGCCCGGGGGTTTTCGGGGTCGCTGATTACGAATTAGAGGTCAGTTTTTCAAAATTCAAAATGGCGGATCCAATATGGCGGACAACTTTTAAAAAAATCGTTCGGATTTGCTTGAAACTCTCTACCCGGGAGTTTTTGGGGTCTCTGAAAATGAATCGGGAGTCAGTTTTTCAAAATTCAAAATGGCGGATGCAACATGGCGGACAAATATTTAAAATCACTGAAAACCACTTACTTCAGACGAATATATTAAGTTTTTTCAAAAGTTGTCCGCCATATTGGATCCGCCATTTTGAATTTTGAAAAACTGTTCTCTGATTCGTAATCAGCGACCCCGTAAACCCCCGAGTAATTATTTTCAGACAAATATATTAAGTTTTTTCAAAAGTCATCCGCCATATTGGATCCGCCATTTTGAATTTTGAAAAACTGACCTCTAATTCGTAATCAGCGACCACGAAAACCCCCGAGTAACGATTTTCAATTACGCGCGCTTTTTTAAAATAATTAAATTTATTAAATTTTAATAAAATAATTGTAATAAATTATGAAACATAAATTGAAAATTAAATTGAATGAACAAAGAATAGAAGCAACAGAGACGGTCAAAGGCCATCGGAGGCACTAGTATTTTTAAATTTTAGAACAATTAAGCGCAAAAAAGTAATATATAATATAATTGTTTAATCGTGTAAATATATTGGAAACCAATTATTATATTTACATATTAAAATAAAATTAAATAAAAATAGAAATATTAAGATAAAATAAGAAAATATGAATTTTGAAAATAGTTGTGTATACACTGTCATGTATTCATTGGATTCTATTAAAATTTATTTAAATTTGAAAATTGTTTTGGATAACAAAATTTTGAGGTATGCTACAGTGCTAAAATAAATTATAGAATAGGCATTATAATAAGAAGCATAGTAAGGAATAAAATGAAAATTAGAATAATTTA